AAATGAAATGAAACCAGACTTTAGACAAATAATAGGAGTGAAAATTAATCTCATCGATGCACATTTGTTTTGTTTCTTAAACAATTTCGAACCGATTTATTTTCTGTTTGTTTATTTGATTTGTTTCAAAAGTAACAAGTTGAACTCGTCCATTGTTCAATTATATGATAAGCTGGTGTGACGCAGCAAAAGTTAATTTGGTTTCATTTCTTCTCCAGTCCAGACACTGCTTCGACGTATATAGTGATGAGATATCAGAATTAAAATCCCCAATCAGTTTTAAGACTGATATGTCATTCTTCCATTTGCATTATAGATAAATAAAGCCTTGAAAGGACTAACGAAAATATATCAGTAATACAATCACATCTTCCACTTCAAGGGAAAATTACTCCCCATTTGATTACTTTAGTGGGAACTAGCTGATCGTAATCAGTGCTATGAGTGACGAGTTTATGAACAAAACAACAAACTGATATCGACCAATAACCACCTACTAGGTATTTGTTGACCATTATGTTATCTTCGATAAAATACTCATTTCAAGATAGATTTTGTCACGAACTGATATCAGTTAGAAAATTATTGAAAACCAAGGACCACCCGACGGCTATTTTGTCGTAGTTTGGTCTGTAATGATTTGATTAACTTCACTATACACTACACTGTGGACAACCGATGTCAACCAAAGGGGAAATTAGTAAAACATTACACCGAATTGTAACTTAGTTCATATTTCCTTAATGTTGATTTAAGCTTACAATGGTATGCGAATTTCTCTTCAAAGTCTTAAATACAAGTTACTCATAAGTTTCTAAAGGCAAAGAAGTAAAATCAAGAAAAGAATTCTCTAGGACGAAATCTAATAAGCTTAAAAATACGCTTTTGTGTATGACTTATGTTAATAAACTCCTACTTATAAACTCGTTTTATATCACAATTATGTAGACTAAATCTTACTGTTATACGTACAAACTTATGTAAACACTACATCACCCGATTAATTAGACAGCAACCAACATGTTCACAAAAAGTCTTATTATTTCTTTCCTAGAATCACATTTAATTTATTCAGAGAAAACCAAAAGATGAAGTAAATTACCTTTTATCATTACCAGATACTGGAGCTCCGGTTAGATTTTGTATATGTACTGGCATTTCAACACCTTGATCATTTAAACGAGTTAATTCAATCACTCGAGATTGAGCATCGTTTACTGAATTGTTAATTGCCTTCTTCTGTACTGTATGAAGTCGTACTTTCAATCCACGACGCATAGCTTCACGTAACTTGTCTAGATTTGCCTTTAATTTTGCCACTTTAGTCTTTCATAAATCAGTTTTTTAGTGTTACAGAAAAGAAGAAACCCTTTTAATCATTGCATCCAAAATAGTGAAAACAATATCCATTAATACATCAGTTGATTACAGTACGATGATTCATGTAGCATTCAAGGTTTTAGTGGTGACCAAAGTTTATGTATCACGTCCCCGCTTTAACCAATAACTTAAGTGACCCGGCACTACAGTAAACTGTATCTAACTATTGGAGACAGGAAACCGTGAATCTAGTCTCCCAGTTTTTTGGTACTAATTTGTAAAGTACATCTGCAACCTTCAGAAAACCTATGCGAATGAATCCCCAAATTTGGTACCGAAATGTAATGTCCTAGTTTCATAGAAATTAACTTAGTGACCACCCCATTGAAAATTTGATTAGTGGATTTCCACCGACACTAAGAACGTATAAATTATACCCATTATTTTTGTGTACATCACACACTCCTACAAGAATCATCAACAGCCCAAATATCTTAGGTGAGACAACTTTAGATTTGGAAGTTGAGCAGAGAAGAATCAAACAGCCGAAGAAACACGAGCTTTCTGAAGGTTGTCGTTGTGGGTACACCTTGAAACGACCAAAGTACACCAAATTTAGGTTATCCTGATATTTTTCAGCGTTCAACACTAAAATTAATTTGCATCCAATATGTTGATTTGATATTTTCTACCGTTTGAGAATTTTAATGAGGGCGAACTACTCAGCCAGTGAGAACAAAAAAATCTGCGCAGATAAATCCACATTGATGTTCATTAACATTCAGACAACATTCTTCATAAGAGATACAGCTGCTTACAGTAATTTTCTGTGTGCGACTCTGTTTTTGTACGAGTAGACGTTAAGTTGTTACTTCGTCATAAGATCGAAACAAATGAGTACAAATAACAATGGTTTGCCTCACGCTTTCCAATGAGGTTATACTACAGTATTTACACTGATTACACCACTTGACTAGACTAACTTCTGCAGGTGAACAGGAATTCAAACCAGTAGTCTAAGTTAATGATACATATTTACATACTGCAGTAGTTTTGCAATTTGGTTAACCTATCCACACAAACAAAGTTGAAATTAAATGAGTCACAACAGATTATAAGTTAACTTTAACATGATTCAGTGGGAATAAAATTTCTCACATAAGATAAATGAACAATTGTGATAAACTAAAGTTCACAATGACTGGTCGCAAGGGTTTCACCAGTGTTATGTTCCAAATCCTTATTGGTGCCGATTGAATTCTATCAGTCAATTTCACAATGTGGTAACCAAGCTAGATGACTCATCATCGCGGTGACTGGAGGCAACTGACAAGATGACTTGGATATATGTTTAGTGCCTACAGGCACTCATCAACAGGGAATTTATATTCGCTGTGCAAATTATACCTGTGACACTCAATGCAACAGTCAGATACGCTACCACTGAGCTACTCGGGCTAATAAGATAAAACCTAGGATTAGGGTCTCTTATCAATTGCCTATAACCACCTAACATGAACTCAAAGTGCACCAAGAAGGCGAATAGTCTAGCTTAGTGACTTCATTGCAAACCCATATGACAGAATTCAGTCAGTACCAACACTGATAAATAGACATAATACTGGTCTTTATTTATTTACTCATTTAAAAACAAGATTAGTACAATATGGCGCCGAGTATTGGACCACACAAAAATAAGTGTCTTTATTGCATATTCCCGCTAACTGTAACGTCGTAGTAATATGCTATGGTGGTTTAACGACAAGTTATACTTTTTATGTTTTTTCAAATTAAATTCGAGTTAGAAAACTTTTTTGGAGTACATATTACCAGTGGTATTATATTCTCCCGACCGAAAGCTGCTACCTTGACGTGGTGGTCGGGCTTGAACACCGCAATGACCCAACAAGCTATACTGGCTGAGACTTATGTCGCTTGAGGTCCCATCATGCCAGAAAGATTGTTTGGATAGCGGTTAGACAAAAAGCAGCTACCCAATCCAATACTATAATTCAAGCAAATTCACAAAATATCATGCCGGATCGGTCGGGGCCCGGATTAACAACGACCGCGCTTCCTGCTGCCGTGTCACAGGGCAGAAGTGATATGCTACTGAGACACACCAAACAAAAAAGGACAAACAAAAACCGGCCGCGTGTGACCGGCCTCAAGTAGTTGTCCCCTGGGCACTGCGGTCACGCAACCAACTTCCACGGTGTGGGCAGACGGGAAGTAACGACCATCCACACTTCCAAAAGCACACAAAACCTTCCTGAGCATCATTCCCCTTCATTTACATCACCTTTCTCATCTTGCTTCTCTACTACAGTTAGTACTATTCTGAAGGCTAGTGAGTCATTTTCACTTCACTCTGTGACCACAAACAACGATGAGAGCCATAAAAACACCCCAGATAGCCTTTTAAAGCCACGTCGCCAACTTCATATACGAGCATTTAACGTCAGGACCCTATGCCAAATCGGAGAACAGCCATCACTAGCCACAACTCTGGCATCTCGAGCCATCGATGTACGTTGTGTTTCGGAGACACGCGTGAACGACCCTAGTGTGATCATTCATTTAACCTCACCCGGTCAAAAAGGTGAATCTACAAAATTCACCTTAAGGGTGTCAGGAGACTCCACAGCCAGCTCGCGAGGACTCGCAGGTGTATGGGTAGCACTGAGTATTAGGACGGAAAAATCACTTCTTGACTGGATCCCAGTAGATAGTCGTATGTGTGCGGTCTGTCTGAACGGGTCCGTTAGAAGGAAGGACGGCGTTACCCGTCTTGTCTTTTCGTAGTCTCCACTTACGCCCCAACAGACTGCAGTTCGGATGAGCTAAAAGATGACTTCTACCTGAAACTGTCTAATTTGCTGCAAAAAGCAAAGCATTCAGATATAGTTGTTTTAGCAGGCGACTTCAATGCTCAAGTAGGGAAGTTGCGCCAGACTGAGAAGTATGTAGGTGGTACGTATGGAGTTCCCTGCCGACGAACCGACAACGGTGATCGTCTCCAACAGTTTTGCTCAGATAATCATCTGTTCCTGGTCAGCACTAACTTTAGGCACAAAGAGAGACATTGTGTAACCTGGCGACCTCCGTCACCAAATCAACGCTGGACTCAGATAGACCATATAGCGATAGGGTATCGTTGGCGAGGGTCAGTAAAAGACTGTCGCTCCTTCTGGAACACGTTCGTAGATTCTGATCACGCTCTGGTTCGAGCACGTTTGACGGAAGCGAAACAGTTACGTCCCTAACTAGATCGACACACTGAGTCCTTATTTAAGGAAGAAATAGCGAAACCAGTTTCTGAGGTCGATAGCAGGAATTTCCCTGAGGTAGCCTGGCACAACATACAATTAGCTGTAGACACAGCTGTGAAAGCTGTTAACAAGCGAAAACCAAAAGTTAGTAAGAGCCATTGGGTCTCTACCGCCTAATCCGAACTGATTGACGCAAGAAGACTGATCCCAGCGAGCTCCTATTATGATGAGGAGTGAAAGCTACTCAAACGTAAACTAACAAGAAGTCTTCGCAATGACCGTGAACAGTGGTGGTCGACAAAAGCGAAAGAGATGGAAAAGGATTCGGCGATTGGCAACACCAGACAACCACTTAGGCTTATCAGAGAAACACGTGGCAAAGGCAAGTGATAAGTGAAACAATCTCGGAGAAAAATGGCACCATAATTAGCTCCCAGGATAGACGACTGGAACGCTGAAGAAAAACACTATGAGGAGCAGTTTAACTAGCCTACAGCTACGCTTAACCTGCCGAACATTCAACACCTTCCTCAATGGAATATAAACTCCGTCTCTAACTGAGGTTACAAAAACTGTCCCTAGTGTGAAACAAAGCAAAGCAGCTGGACCTGATGGAATGACTTCAGAGGTGCTTAAATGTGGTGACGACGGTTTACTGTCTGCATTAACTGAGGTACTAGGCAGCGTCTCGGAATCAGAGGAAGTCCCATCGGGTTGGTGTAAGTCACTGATCATCCCCATATACAAGAAGGGAGACAAGTTTTCCTGTGACAATCACAAGGGGGGATTAGCTTGACTAATATAGTATCTAAAGTCCTAGAATCAATAAAATTGCATAGACTAGGCGGTGCTCGGGAGGTAAAAACACGAGAGAACGAGACGGGCTTTAGACCAGGAAGAGGGTGTATTGATAATATCTTCACCCTTCAACAGATTCTAGAACATAGGCATTCTTATCGGCGTCCAACGATCATTATATTTATTGACCTAAAGACAGCATTCGATTCTGTCGACCGAGAGGTACTCTGGCGATGCTTGGCTGTAAAGGGAATTCTGAGAAAGTACATCGCACTGATCAAGACACTCTACTCGAACTCATGCAGCCAGGTGAGGGCTTACGACGAGTTGTCATCTGAAGTGGTGACGACTATTGGTGTCCGTCAGGGATACCCATTATCCCCATTTCTATTCAATTTCATCATAGATGTACTAATGTACTTAGTCCTAACTGCTGACTTCAGAGACTCAGAGATTGACTTGCTACCGGGGAACAATCTCGTTGACTTAGAATATGCAGACGGTACAGTCCTACTAGGCGAGGACGCTGACAAAATTCAGAGTCTTCTGAACACCTTGAGCTGCAATCTACGTATGTTTGGCATGCGATTCGCTCCCACCAAATGTAAGATGATGTTACAGGACTGGACTACACCGACTCCTATACTAGAAATAGGGAGTGAAGTGGTAGAGCACATTGACCGCTTCACTTATTTGGGAAGTTGCATCAGCCCAAACGGGTTGATCTCTGACGAAATCTCAGCACGGATACGGAGGGCTAGTTTCGCATATGCCAGTTTACGCTGTCTTTGACTTAGTAGACGTGATATCCGACTATCGACCAAAGGGCGGGTGTACTGCTCATCAGTCTGCTCCGTCCTCTTTTATGACTGTGAGACCTGGCCATTGAAAGTGGAAGCCATGAACAGGCTAGCTGTCTTTGATCAAAGGTGCCTGCGTTCTATTTCCCGTGTGAAGTGGTATAGTGAGGTGAGCAATATTGAGGTTAGGCGTCGAGTTCTAGGTAAGGAGGGGAAATCAATGGACGAGGCTGTGAAATCACATCGACTGAGATGGTTAGGACATGTGTTACGTATGCCTAGCCATTGCCTTCCTCGACGGGTCATGTTGGCTGACATAGGATCAGGTTGGAAAAGAACCAGTGGTGATCAAATCAAAACATGGCTTGATCAGTCAATGAAATCCACAATACTTAGTTTAAACCAGCCACGTAGGAAGGTGTAGACTTCCTGGTTAGGGTCCTTGGGACGGTAAAAAACAATGTCTGGAGACAATCCGTGATATGACTTAACATCGTTCTCAATGATGCAGATGCATCCACTGATGAGCAGTACACACGCTCTTTGGTCGATAGCTGGATATCTCAAACTCCTACCAATCTTGCAATAATATTCTGCACTCACTCAGACGCCTCAAAGTACATGCTATGCTTACAGACACTGGTCACCAACTGCAATTCTTCGGCGCACAGGCAGAGATGATATATAAGCACCACTTTTATGGTCGGCTGTTTCTTACTCTGGTTTAATATTTCAGTCTCACAGCACATATATGATTGTTAGTGAGGATCCACCCAATAAATGCGGATCAGGCTCTAGCACGTGCGTAGACGCGACGGGGTTCCCACAAGTCCGCAAGTGGTACACGCCATTTGATCCTACAAAGCTTTTCAAGGTACTGACCAGACTCGACTGTTGTTTCACTTAGATCAGTGTGTAAACAATATAGGTAGCAAGCCTGAATGCAACACGTGGTCTTAGAATAACTGACTAACAGCTCACAACGGCACGATTACGCTGAGATACTAAACAGCAGCAAAAAGCTGAAGATAGTGGAAATCATAAACGTGATAAAAACGAAAGGCGGTTTACATATAAAAATAACATGAAGATGGATTAGGTTGCAAACGATATGACTGGATAAGCAGTCTGTAATAAGTGACAAACGAGTATAATTTCTCATTAGTGGTTGTCCCGTTATCAGTGCGAGAGCTAAGATACTACCCAAATGCCCTCACCTAAACAGAACCGGAAACTTTGAGTTGAAGTATGATCACGTGGTCACCAGCGGCCAAAACGAGTTTAAGTCCCATTCCATCCTTTTGGACTGTGAAGATACAGAATGGGTCTTAACTGACAGACGTTATGAACTCATGGCCAAATGAGAGCACTTTGAGTGGAAGACAGGAGTCTATCCACATTTGTTACGCCCTATCAGTGTAGGAGGAGGTCATTTATGATTCCGAATAACTCAGTAGAGACGTCTCTGGTTGAGTGATGTTGATTATAAAGCCACTACTGACCTAACTACAATACCACCTCACCAATACATCCACATTAAATTTAGTTATAAATAACGCACAGTAAATGTACACAGATATATGAGGAAACCTGCAACTGAGCAAATTTAGTTTCAAAAGGATGCATAGAAGTAGAACTATTTACTAGGTTGTACGAAACAACCAATCATACTATCACGGATTATCTTGGTCTTACAAACAGAGCTCATCACTCTTTATCTCAGGCTACGTGAAGATGAGTTGAGTACAATCTCAAGTGAGTAATTGGATAAAACTTTTGGTGCTCTAAACTAAATTAAAACTCAGCTAGTTAGCTAGCTTGATCAGAAGTGTAGGTAAAACTAACCTGACGGCTGTTAAACAGAAAACAGCTGAAATGCTGGGTCTTTAATGCAGATTCAGCCAACAACATTTTATAAAAATAAATCTTAATTCCTAACTTATCATACCGGATTTGACTCTAATTCTGCACGCATCACTTTTGCAGCCATTGAATTTATGTCATCGTTTGTAACTAAACGTTCTTCAAAAGTTTTATGTTGATCATCGACAGAGTTTACTGGAAATCTTTCATCTTTTCTCGACAATGGTTCTGAAAACAGAAAATATTAGACTGCATATAACTAGTTAGTATAAAATTATTTCACTAATATAATTACGCATGAAAGGCAGTTTAAGAGAACACATGTAGAAAAATACACAGCTAAAGGTAGAAAGTCAATTGAATTTCGGCATACGGCGTTAAAAAACCTATATAACTTTAGGAACTAAGAGATATTCACTACCACAAAGTCTATTTTAGATAAGAGTAATAAATGAAGTTTTTGATATACCACGCTGTAGACATATACTCATTATGGCAACAAACAAATTTATTTTATTTTAAGAACTTAAATGTATTCAAATTTACTAATGTAACCCAATGTCAGCTCATGATGAAATCCTGTAACTAATCAACCAAATCCCTACAAACCAACACTTGAATTACTGATGTAAAGTTAGACATCATCCTAATTTGCAAGCTGAAATAGGTGGAACGGTTGAAGGTAATTTAGCAACCACAAACGATATCTCCACTGTAATATTAAATGTGAGAGTACAGATTCACAGTTACAATCATATATAACACCGTTCTATATAACTGGCATAATAGCTATAGAACATTTAAAGACCCAGCAGTAGTCCTCCATAGGATATCCCTTGAATTCCTTATTTACTAGATAGTCTGCTAAAATATGTGTAGTCAAAGACAAATAAAATGTCATCGAATAGTATTATTTTTATGAACACATTAATTTATTACTAGAACTCCATTGTAATGTAGCTCAACAACTAAAGGTATCATGGCATACTGAGTAGGAAGCAAATTCAACATGTTACAATTTATGGTTTCAACTTATATATGAGAAATTTACATACCAATACGTTCTGATGAGTGCCCTTCTTTTGAACAGGAGGAAGGAGGTAGTGATGAAGACGGTAATGAATTGAAAGATTGAGATTTTCGCCAACGTGGTTTAGCACCTGATGCACTAGAAACAAGTATTTTTTAATTGGCTAAATTATAGTCTGAAATTATAACGAATTGATACAAAATAGGAATACAAACATGGGAAAACGGTCATTTTTGAAATAAGTCAGTGAAACATTTTAGCTCAGTGATAAACCAAACCAAACTTTCTTACAATCATCTCTTTGAAGACGAACTATTAGGCAAGGACCTTCAAAAAGCACAGACTTTAAATGAGTTTGGGATTTAGAACCTAAAATTTCAGTTTAGATTTATCGAAATGTTATGTAATGTAATCACGGAGTTATCGAACATAATAGTGGTGTGAGCATTTTTAACTTCAGCCCTGAAGAATCATTCGACAAGTTTCTTATCGACTGACTTATTACACCTAGAAGAGGTTTACTTGTCAATGGAATTATAATAACATCTTTCTAAGATTCATTTCCTTTACGAAACAGACATTTCTCAACCTTCAGTAGAAAATCTGCTTATTATGTATTTAGACGTAAAAAGTTAAATGTGTTACAGCTAACGGTCACAAAGTAAGTGATTACACTGTGCCCCACTTATTATTCGCATTGGATTATGGCCATTATTTTCAGGTAGATGAAAAACGAGATAAACATCAACAATACATGACCTAGTTTGATATACCTTGGAATCAACAGCACGTGAGATCATGTGGAGCGCTGTGTTGTTCTTCAGAAATGTCTAACCAACGTATTTATAAACGACTTTAGTTGGCTTCAGTATTTCAGGAAAACACTTGTTAAAAAGGTAGGGTCTTGTTTACTGGACTCGTCTAAAGTCTCCCAGTTTAAAGATGAGGGGAAGAAAGAATTAAAGAAGTGGACCACATGACGTATTTGGGAAGTTGCACTGGCCCTATATACATATCTGATTTTGAAGATTTAACAAAAAGGAAGTATTAAAACTTTTAATGAGGCATCTGAAATCTACCTTTTAATTGAGAAATTATCCATATCACAGACAAAATGTGCACTCTTTTATACCGCTCAAACCAGCAAGCACTTCATTAGCTAATAATTTAACACAACTGCACATCTACTTCTGTCGATTTGAAGTATGAGAAAATGTGTTGCAAAATTCGTAATATTACTAGTTAAACCTCATTGTTCTATGTCTAAGTGACTGACTGGTTTCCCCTATG